CATCGAGATGCTTCTTTGAGAGGAATGATTGAAAAAGTTTCTTATTGGATGTACCACTTAACGATATGCTATTTGTTCTTCGCCAAATGTCCGACAGTCTCACTCTCACTTTTGCTCTCATTCACTAAATTCTTTGAAATAAAGCAAAAAAAAAAAAAAATGGCACTCTTGATGTAACGGTTGTTTTGTGATAGATAGATATACTGAAAGTGATAGATGATAGCAGAATGTTTAACAGTAGGAGGGATAACTCTTAGCATCAGTACCATACCATTCCAACCTTTGGAAATAACAAATAGCAACTGCTGAAAACAAGACTTTGAACTTATGTTGTTTGACACTTTTTTGCAATACTAACATTAGGAAAAGAGTTTTATGTTAATTGAAGAAGGTAAATTAATCAGAATGGGAACAATTACAATCAAATCCGAGAGTTAACTAAGTTTGAGGAAAAGTTAGAAACGAAACAAAATCTCTACAAAAGATCAAAGGGAAATCCGTGAAGTAAATAGCAAGAAAATAGAATGAAAATGTAAAAAGAAATTGATAAAAAAATGGAAGAACATTTCACTCGTTTAATCCTACATTTCCAACAATTCCATCTAAATCAGAATCACTTCCAATACCCATTTCTTTTTTACGGTTTTCACTTTTGTCCCGTAATTTTTCCATTGGAAGACTTACTCTTATTATTAAAAATATAAAAAAATATTTCCTGTGTACTGGAAAGATAATTCCCTTAACAGTGTGCTCAATTTGGGGTCATAGTAAGAATATTATGAACCAAAAGTTCATTCAAACCAAAATAATGCATAATTAATGTTTGCATACTAACCATGTGTCAGTTTTGAAAATGCTAAAATCCTTCTCCTTCAAAACTTATTTCTAATCGGAGGATGAACATGAAATGTGTAAACTTTGACAATATAATCAGAACAATATAGTTGCAAAAATAATTGGTACATTGTGTTTAAGCAATATTAAATATTACAAACGTTCATTAAGCCTTAAAATGAAATTAGGCAAAAACCAATTAGAAATGAACTTTGCGAAAGAGAAAAAGTAAAAAGGGATGAACATAAGAACACAAAACAGAATAAACCAATACAAAATGATATGGTGATAAAACTAATTAATATCTTTAAACAAAACTTTGTACCGCTTGATCCAAAGATTTTGTTAACTAAATAGACAGAAGAAAAAGATAATGTAATAGTTACACACATTAAGGCTTCAAGATATGCCCTTCTTTCGGGTTTTCTGAAGCAAACTGCTCAGTCGTCAATTTTTCTTCTTTTTAATGACCGATGTGGGAAGGGAATACAATTAATTAAAAATAACATCTGATGAAAGCAACGTGTCAACAAATGGATCATATAAATAATTTTGGATTTAGAAAAAAAAAACAATACTGTAAAAATTTATGCTTTAAAATTTAACGAATAAAATGTATTTAAGAACTTTTAAAGTAAGGATTTATATTTAAAAATTTTTCGGAGAAAAATAGTGCATAGCAATCGCAATAAAATAACTCACAACTTTCGCTATATGAAAATATAACAAAAATCGAATTTGAATCAAATTAATCAGATTTGTCAACAAGGTCAACTGTAATTTTTTTTTGAGATCGAGTAGGCTACCAATAGTTGTTAACAAATGAAAGCATATCTTTCGAATTTACATTGCAGTCTGAAGGTATATTATCAGTTATCAGTGATGAATGGTCCTTTTCATCTGATGAGGCTCAACATAGCTCTCACATACTGAACATTGTTGATCTGACTATTCGGAATGTGTTGTTTTCTGGATAATGTATAAAGTTGATACTGTAATATGTCATGTGGAAAAAGTCAGATATAAACTTTAAAACTGTATCGAGTTGAAGCTGTGACGAACGCGTGGAATCTAGCTAGATTGATAATAAAATTTAAAAGACACTTAAACTGAAGTATATCCCGGTCTAGCGGTTGAATGATTAGCGCTGTTGTATTTTGCGGCTTCTTTTGTTTCTAGAATTTTTACACCGTCGTAAACTCAAAGTGTCAATATTGGAACAGGAATAATCGTGAGTTTACAGATAAAGGAAATGGAATCATACTTCAATACTCTACTGTCACAATTCGGATACTAAGAGACTGAAAAATATTCTTGAAATGGAATTAAAGAAGCTGGATTAAAATCAAAATTCCAATATTTTATAAAGAACAGTTGCAATCAGACTTCGTAAGAGAATACCTATCTCAGCGGTAGCAGTCACACAACGCCTGATATGCTTGTGAATCAGTAATAGGTAGCAGTACTGAAATAATAGCAAGCGTTAGGGTAGTCGATTTCACAGTTCAACAGTCATCTGATCTAGATCAGTGCCATTTCCGACACTCGAATCTCTAGAATGTGCTTCCTGAATTGGATATCAAAACTGACATTGGAATATTTGGCACTGACTGGTTTGTTGAGTAATATCCAACAGTTAATATCATAACCAGGAAAGAGGAAAACCAAGAAGTAATTAATACAACATTTCATACTTGAAAACCTTCGTTGCTGTACTTTGATCATAGCTGTCTTAAAACCGAAATTTTGAATCAATGCCAATAATTTCAATACTTATTTCAATATCCACAGCGAACTTTGTCGTCCAGTGGCTAGTAAAAGAGCTGCGGACAACTAAACCAAATTTTTTGAAAATATTACTTTTCTCGATCATCCAAGATTAGAACAATTATTTTCAGATAACATAGGGTATCTAATTACAAAAGTTTTACTACCTTTCAAGTACTACCTTTCAACCTACCTTTCAAGGTAGGTTGAAGAACTACCTTTCAAGAAAACCCCTTCTTATCCGTTCAAATTTTGATCTAACTGCCAGGCGAATGAGCTTTTTAATTAGTTTGTCGTTCATCATTTTCTGTTTCGATTTATTGCAATAAGTAATTGTATGGGAATCTTTCAACATTTAACAAATTAGTAGAAAGAGGCGAGAGTTTTTCAGAGTTTTTTTCGGATACGTTATTATCTAGGAAAAACATTTATTGTCACTTAGACAGAATGAATCGCTGATGATAAAATAAGAAAAAACAATGATAATGCTACCAGAAACATTTCTGTAAAACAAATTCCTGCTATTTTTGTAGATTTCTATTAAATAGGAAAGCTAAATTATCTTCTCTTTGTAAGTTTTATCGAAATGTATTTGTGTTGAAGTAATACATCATAGATTAGCTGAATAAGCAGCTGAAAATGCTACCTTTTATGTAACGTTCGACAAAGACTTCAAACATAAGAATCAATATGGATATTAATTATTATTTCACTTGTTAACCAGTAAAATCCATTACTGAATTTGGGAGAACTGAAATCTAAAATTTCTCAGATTTCCGAAAATTCGTGCTATATATTTTTAAGCAGCTAAAAAACCCATTCATATCTTTTGAAACTTTTATTATTGCATAGCACTTTAAAAATGACCGTAATGGAAACTGAATCCAAGAATAGTTGGATTTAAAGATCTTGAATAAGCACTAAAAGCATTTTAATATGTATTTCAATGGGTCCCTTGGATAGACAGTACCGGACGTCATTATGTCGCCATTTCATATTGTTATCGTCATTAATTTGTCTCATTGAATTCATAATTGTTGAGTTCGTTGTTATACTAACAAATTTATCGTAATAAAGGTTTAACTACCGAAGTTTGAGGTATTGTCAACGGAAAAGACAGAAACCACCCCAAATCTTTGTAACGATTGAAAAAAATCGTCGACAAAAAATCGTTTTCTTTTCTTTACCAGATCGCAACTTTTCTTCCCTTGATGGGAAAGGTAACTAGTGATAATTGTACCATATATCTTTAAGCTGTTGAAAAATTCATTTATATCTTTATTTCAGTATGCATACCCAAAAATACTTCCACTTTAGAAATATGACAACCAGGCTGATTCCATCACTCCACAACAAGTTACTAGTCGATTTCAATCATTTCCTTCCTATTTATAAAGGTATTACAAGCATAATTAATTAATCTATTTTCAATGCTTATTCAGTGCAAATGCATGGTGTAATTAGAATTTTACCAAAAAACATCTGATAATACCGACAATTTTGTTATACAGTTAGAATTCACTTGTTACATCAAAGCAAAATCACTCGATTGATGTTCTTCGCACAAAAACACTTGGATATTGATTGATTCATAAATATAATAACTGAATAATTTTAATTATTCTTATAGATATTTCAGTTTTTATAGGAAATGAGCAGCTGTCCTCTCCTGTCGCATTGTTCTTTTAAAGAAAGATAACCGTAGCAGATAAAGAACGAATTACACCATGTTAAGAGTTATCTTCAAGACATGCCCTTCTTTCAGGTTAAGAGGTAAAAGTACCTTTGTTGCGCAATCATTACACATTCTTTCTCTTTTTCTCCATCATTTCTTCTACTTCTATTTACAACTTCATTAATGGATATTCATTTACATATATATGTTGCAGATAGAACCTATTGCATCATTCCTATGAATAAATGTTATATATTTGATTCTGAAGCGAGCTGTTCAGTCGTCATTTGTAGAAAACGATTTATGTATGTTCTTGAAGGTGCAGTAATTTTTAATGCAACTTGTATTCTGAATTAGACTGACATTCAAGAAGAAGTAACAGTTCACCTGAAATCCTCGGTAACGTTTCACGGTAAATATTCGCAGAAAGTCTAGAGAAGCACTTTATATTGTATTTAATATCTACCAGAATTTTTTTGTTAAAAAAACGACAACTTCTCAAAAAAGCATTACTATTTAGGAGAATATGTACATTAAATGAGATCATCACAGGTATTGAAAGAGATCACATGACATGAGGTACTGAAACAAAGATTGATCATCCAATTAATACCTCCATTTTCAAGATTTCTACTTCAAATGTGTAGTTTTTACAAATTAACTTTAATATAGGCAGCAAATACTGCTACATTATTCACCGGGTTCAACACATTCACTTTTCAGGTCACACACATTTAAGATCGCTGTCTTCAGGCCTTTCATAAATCGACGAATTTGGCGAATCTATTTGATGCAAAATACTTCCAACGATAACTTTTGTTGGTTTTGAATGCTGTGATGAGCCAGTAAATGTGGAAGAGGTGTCTGGTGGTGATGCACCGCTGGAGTTGCTTCTGGAGCTCGTCCATCTCGGCAACGGACGATACTTGCGATCCCATGGGATATCATACCTACAATAGCTAATGAACTCATTCTTCGTATTCAAAGCCATTACCTTTAACAGTTTTGAACATAAAGAACGGAAGAAACTACAGTTACGTCACTTATATCAAAATTTCCTGAGTAGAACCTGTCAGGTTTGAAAGACAGCAATAACGTGAGAACATTAAATCTCGATTTAATGAAATATTGCAATAACCCGCCTGGTACTCTCGATTGAACCATTGGGTGATTCGATATGCATTACATGCCCTGCACCTATTGTAGCGCACGGTTGACATTTCTTGGATAATAAATCTCTATTTTTCTTCTGTCGAACGTACAGATAAAGGATGAATGCGCAAAGTGCGCTACTCAATGCCGTTGTCAGAGCAAACGCTGCCAGCAGAATATTCAGATGGCTTTCGTTTCCAACAAATTGCACAAAACCAGGTTTCAAATCTTCTGGGTACTGAAAAATCTATTCATCATCCAGCGTTTAACGAGCGCAAAAAGCATCTGAACAATTCAAAAAAATTATAGAATAGACTTACCTGCTGATTGATCACAGTATCATCACTATATTCTATGCACCATGGACAACGCTCTTCATATTTCTCCATAATTATTGTACTATTGAAACATCGAGCTGTCAGTCTAACGATAACTTTGCCATCAACGCCCAGTGATATTGTATCAGATCTTTTCTGTAGGCTTTTCTTCGCCTGTAATTGTTGGAGATATAAATTCGATAGTAATGATAAATCTAGCCTTATCATTTCATGGATTTCAATCATGAATTAAATTTTATTTGCATCAAATAATGCAGATAAGAAGGAAAATGACCCCATTTCAGGAGAAATGCGGCTTTAGACTATGCTCATGGGTAATACGAATAGCAATAATTTCAAATAAATTATTCCCCCTGGCTTCCTAATGAAATCGAAAATGGCTTTCAAATGATTTTACTGTTATAAAAAAAAGGAAATCTTCAAAAATTTCGGTGCTATTTTAATTAGAGACAAATTTCATTGCATTTAATTCTTTTTTAAAGAGTGAATTCAAATTTTTTTTGGAAACTTCGGCACTATTCTTAGGTTACAAAATAAAAAAACGGTTTTAACAGCTTTCAATCAGGAAGAACCTGAATGCAACACAATTGTAAGAGGAAGCACATCCTCTCAGATTTTTACCTATTTTCCATTCTAAAGCATATTTCTTTAATTTCTAGCAATACATTAATTCCTTTTCATTAAACATCATTTTCAGTATTTACCACGACCATTTTTATCATTTCTCTGTCAGAAGGGAAATGATAAAAAGAAAATGAAAAATGACAAAAAGCTAAGAAGCAGAATTCAGCATAAATATGAAATTCTAAACTCTTATTTTTAGTCATAACTTCCTAAGTCTACCTCATTTGTTTCGTCTTCCTTCCAGACTTCCTTAAAACACTCAATATCATAGTAAAATGTGTGTACAAATGTCTTGTTCATTTTGAAATGCACTTGCACTTGAAATTCTACAACTTAAACTTAAAAAACGTGTATACTTGGAAATTTAGATTTTTGAAATGCTTCCCAGTTGAAATTATAAGTCTATTTATTAAATTTACTTCATTTTGATAAATGTCAACTGAAGTGGACGAATCGCAGATTCTTGGAAATCCATAAGTTGGATCCACACCTACGACCTCGCATGAAACCAGAATGTCACTCGGACTACCATCACTCCAGTGAGTCACGTACATGCGCTGCCTTTCCTGCAAATTTCAAAATTGATTGCTAGAAATTAAACTGAAGGTTTAAAAAAACCTCAAAAATGGAATTGTTCTACTGAGAACAGTAACCGTACCAATTTTCAGTCCAGCCTTTCTACATTAGATTTACATCAAAATGCAGAGAGTTTCAAATTTAGCTAAACTGTTAAAAATCCCATTTTATAGCGTCAATAATCATTATGATCTAAAATTATAATTCTTTCATGTTTAACGGTTAGTCACTAAAAAGCGTATGGTCAACTGCAAAGGTCAACAAGCAATCATCAAAGATACGACCCGATGGCGTCTAACTAATTAGTTCGCCCTTTAATAATGTAGTATGTATTATTGCACATGCCTTAGACGTCTACATATTAATATTCAATTTCTTTTTCAAAAATTATTTTAGCGATGCATTAGCCTTTGATCCAGAACAAAGACTTCTATGGAACATTTGTGTGACAAAATTCCAAAATCACATTTATTGATAATTTATAGAAATAGTTAGTTAGGTCTGAATTTTGAAAGTTTTAAGTCTTAACCTTCAATTTTACGAAACTTTTTGCATTCTGGTATTGCAAAGGTAACTTTAGTACTTGAAATTTTTACAATATTAATATTTAGAACCATCCTCTACCATAATACCTTCTCATGTTTTTCACACATTGCTCTCCTCAAAAACGAGTTCAGTTATAGGTCCTTCGATTTTTTCCGAATGGTCTGTATCCGGTAATTTCTACAAAACCTACTAATTGACGCACTTGTCTTAATTCCTTTCAAATTAGTTATTAAACTGTTAAAAATAAACTTTTAATTAGTTCTAACCTGCATAAGTTTTGGTGTAATAAGCCAACTTTTCGATAATTTTTCATTGGTTATAGCATTCAAGAGTGCTAGTTGAAATCGTGGCTGTGCACAGCCAGCTGTTGTCAAACAACCTTTCCGCCATTCGATATTTTCCAGCTTACTAGTTAGCCAAAATATGGCTCGTGAAGAGTCCAACATCGTACAAAAGATTGACCATGATAATGATAACATAATTATCAATGGAATTTTCATCATTCAACTGCAAATGTGTGAATGGTTAAGAAGTCAACAAAGATCTTCAAACAATTTTCATCCACTTTTTGTTGAAGTTGTTAACGACATCCTTTTCAGTGAAGTATTCTTGTTCTACTTATTCAAAATGAATTAAAATAAATTTCTGTAGAAACGGTAGTGATGACTGCCTGATTTCTGAGTATGCTAAATTAGTGGAATAACCGGAATATTCTAGTATAGAAAGGGGGAGAACAGGGACCAGTGAGTACAAATATCCTGAAGGTATGTGGCTTAGCAGTTGTTGGATACATATACATTAATAGCTGTAATAGTCAATCTAACCTAAGCATTGAATTTTGAGAATAGAATTTAGTCTGAGATACGAACCTTATAATCATCAAAATTAATGATTTAAATGTGATAATTTTCGATGCGACAAAGAATTCTTTGATATGCCTATGGCAAATGATAACTTTGGAAAATTCGAACAAAATAACAACATCAACTTTATCCGTTTGCTTTTTCTCCTTTCTATTTAATTTTTCGTTTCGGGTAACTGACTCTTAAATTGTTCGAATCATAAAATTTTCAATTCCGATATTCCATAAGTATTAAAAGCTTTTGCTATTTCAAGCCCATAAAACAAGAAATTCAGTTTAATTAATTAATCACTTATATTCAATAAATGAAGTTTTCGCACAGAGTTCATTTAACGCTAGAACGTTCGGTCCATAGTCTTCTGCTATCGATGTCACTCAAACATTCACTAGATGCGCCGAGTACAACAATTCCATTACTTTGTGTTCTGGGTCAACTTGATCCTTCTCGGAAGATATATCGATCAGAGAGAATACCATATCAGACGATATAAGCAAAGGATGAAATTGATTATTACTAACAAATCAAATGATAAAAGGTAAGAGCCAGCAATATGGTATTTTAGGTCATCAGATAGTAATTATCAGCAAAAATACCATTACGGATAATGCAGAAGGGGAAATATAGGGGAGAGTGAGCAAATGAATGAATAACTGATGAAGGCTGTGCTGAGAAACGAACATTGAACCGGAATCATCCGGAAAGATCAGTGTCCTGTTTCTCTCCTTTCGTCCTGTTTCTCTCCTTTTATTTTACAGTTCATGTTTAAGTGATAAATTTATATACTTAATCATATTCTAGAAATAAGAACGTAATTACTAATTATTTAACTGGAAGTATTATTCTAAAGCACTAAATTAACTTCATGTCAAGGGGAATTTTTCCGAAATGATTGGACATACTTAAAATCGCGGGTGAAAGTGAGAATGTCATCTGAAATATTTAAATATAAAGGATAAATGTGAAGGAGTAGTCGCTGCAAAGGTATCAGATTTTGAAAGTGATGGTGGAATGGGAGGAAATTTTTTTTTGAACGTATTACAATTTATTCGTTTGTTTCAAATGGAAAATAAATAGAGAAAAAATGGAGGAGATATATGAAGTTCTTGTTTGCTATTACAGAGTGGTACTTGGAACGAGACAGTAGCCACTACTGGTCAATAGCTAAGGTCAATGAAGAGGAGAAAATCGAGGAGGGAATCGTTAATAAGCAATAGAATAGGAGTACCTTAAAGAATGCGATTAAGCAAACATAATGGACCTTTGTGTGAAGGTGTTACCGCTATAAAAACATAGAGCGTACCGCAAGAGGAAAAGCGGAAGAAATATTAAGAGTAACCCAAGCTGACAAACAACTGGTCATTTAAGTATCCGTTTAGTCCGCCCATCTCTTTTAGTTCCCAACTTCTCTTTATTACCTTTTTAGAAATCATAGGAGATCGGGGCTTGGATTTTAAACTTTGCGCTGATACATTTAAAGAATTTTGTGAAATAAAATGACTTGAAAATCTTTACTTCTGACTTAATAATGCATTTTTAACTGAATGATAAATGAGTTAGAATTAATCAATCTTAGTGACAGACGCTAAATCAAAATATGCCGTGTATTTGAGTATATGTAGTATATCTTTTTGTATTCTTATTACAAACTACTAAGTGCAAAACTGCTCAATATTTTACAACTTCCTTTAATTGTTAACAAATTTATGACTATCACTGAGCTTTGCGCTAATATTATAATGCAAATAAAAAACAAGCCTGAAAAGAGTGAATGTGACAATAATTTTAAGGTCAACCAAACTCCGAATTGAACAATTCAACCCTTTTCGACAATTTCTAATTTTGCTTTTTTTATTGTAAAGGGAAGGGAAATTCCCCGTAAGCATTAAATGAAAAAGGGAAAGTTTCAACCTTTCATTGTAATCGAAAAAACTGTTGCTAAGTCTGGAAGAGACAAATAATGGGACGAACTGAAATCAAAATTCAAATAAAGTGCTCAGAATTGAGCGGCATTTGTTTGTACAAAAGAGTCAAGACGTTATGGTGGGGGGAAAGGAGAGTGATGATTTTTTGGGTTAGAACACAGCAGGTAGCGAATTGAGATAATACTGATGGGTACATATAACTTTTTCACAATACGTTTAAAAAATCTAATTCAAGTCTGAATTTGAAATTAGAAATTGCTTGTCTTTGAGTATGAAGAGAGCCAAAACTGCAAATATTTCAAAATTTCGGGATTATTTGAATTTATAGTTAAAAATTCAATTACAAATTCTAGTTAAAATTTTAAAATTGCAATAGGAGAAAATTCTTTAGTTTCAACGAAAAAGACAATTTCCACACTTTATAGCAGAAAGGATTGGTTTTTCTCACTACTTTAGTCAAATTCTCCCAAAGATAACACACCGATGATTGCTAAATTAGTTTTAAAACAAGATTTTTAACTTTTCGAAAAAGAAAAAAACCCCATTAAAACAATGAATAGCTTATGTTGCGCTTGGTATCAAAATAATTAATTGGAAGAGAGTTTGAAAATTCACAATTTGCATGTCCTTCATTAACAGTGCGTTATTACCTTTCAATCCTATTTTCATTCCCGCTCATACCTACTAATCTGAGGAATGGGAAGAATACCGAAATGAATGGACTGCTCATTGCTGGATAATAACCACAGATCCTCATGATGAACATCTGCACAGATAACCCTTTACCGTACCGCAAACTTAGATTCAGTATATTTTATTATATGATAAAGTTGATTGGTCAATACATATTCACACCATTTTCACAATTTTCTGAGCGATTATTGTTGACCTTAAAAGATAATACTTTTTAAGTGAACAATAATCACTTTCCCATCAATTTTAGTATTATTTTTGTTTCATTCAAATCTTTTCTAAATTGATGGAAAAAAAAGTGAAAATATGCATCTTACAGGTTTATTTCTAAATATTTTTGAACAATTTCTTGCAGTATAACGAAAGAAAATTGCAATACAAACTAAAAAATTGCAATACAATCTTTGCTATTCTTTGAAATATTTAATCGTTATTAGGGAAGGAAGGAAAAGATCAAATTTAAAATTGAATTGTTTAAAGTGTACACTCTAAGACTACAATGAAAAGTTCAATAATAAATGAGATAATTAAATCAAAATGAGGTGGTCGTTTTCAATGATATTATCAGTTGAGATAAATTATAATCACAGCATAATAATGTCACTTGCAATACTGTAATCATAGAGGTAATGATCATAATGCCATTTTTATTGTCCTTTCTTTAAATTTACTAATGAGGGCTACTAAGCATGTGTTAAACAAATGCACTACTTATCAATTCATCAATCGACCATTATCAGTTGTGATATTAACCAAAATCTTATCCTTACTTCTAGACTATTTAAATGTTCAATAATTATCTTCAAAATCAGACGACTAAAACTGAGACTGAAAGGACTGTAAAAGATAGAAGCAATAGTGAAGTGATGATATATAGTCATTAAATAAACAGTTTGGTCTTTTAATGATGATTTGATCCTACTTGTTTTTAATGAAATAAATACAAATATTTGCCATTGAACAACAGTTACCATGTTATTCTAATATACAATTATTTGGGTAATGATAAGATAAGCAACATTACTATCGTTATCATTATTAATCACTATGATTGTAGTTCACGTTATGAATATCTAGAGTCGCTAATATTTTTATCATTCCAGTTATTGTCTAGTATCAGTTTTTGAATTTCTAAGACTGCAATGGAAAAAAAAAAACGAGAAATCTTGAATGGTTCAGACTTTGAAAGCAATTGTTTTAACACGGCTAACCTGAACTAAATCCTTATTTTCCATCAATTCGTTCATCCATTTATTTCTATTAGTTTTTCAATTTTCAAAAGTGATTGGATAGAAATTCACAAACGTACCAGCAAATTTGAACATACAATAGTAAAGGATAGTTGAAATGCAAACAATGACTTGTGTTGCTGATGGCGACTGATTAAATCTAAGAAAGTGACATGTACCTGTCATGGAGTGTCCAACTCAAATAGTAATAAACAATGCGAGCAGGCGGTAGTGACGGATGATGGGATGGATATCCAAGAGACAAGGCTCATTTATGTCAGTAAACTGACCGACTAGAAGTTGCAAATGAGAAGCAAAAGATGTCAGAGTGCGCGTAGAAGAATGAAAAATGAAAAATTCTATTAATTTTCGTTCGAAAAAGGCAAAAATTATTGGTCTAAGTTGATCTTAAGACCCAAAGCCTAACTCGATACGAATATCTTATGCGAAGTGTTTTAGCTAAACTTGCAAAAATTATCTCATAAATAAACTGGAAGTCGATTTTTTGCTAGCTTGGAAAGACAAAAATTGAAATTTCTTAAATTTTTGAAATTTCTAAAGAAATTAAACTTTGAGTGTTGGATTTTACGGCAGTTACTATCGCTGCAAAAATTATGATAGATATGCAATGACTGTGAATCTTCCAAATATTTGTTTTCAAATTAACAAAGACTTAACAAAACTGAAAACAGATATTCTGGCTCAGTTTGACGTGTCATTTCAGGTCAGTGATCATTTCTCTGCATAGTTACTGGTGTATAAAAAGATTGGAATCGCCAAGGAGACGAACTTCACAATTCTTTGAAGGATTGAAATTATTCGCACTTTTTCCAGATGTCACTTTAATTTATTTTAAATTAGTTGTATGCGAGGCAAGAGATGCAAATTGTTACAACACTTGAAAAAGGTTCTGTAATTTAAAATAGATAATTCATATCTCAATTTTTGAAAGAAATAATTATTTTTTCACTCAATTCTTCCTCCTTCTTCAAGGAGCAATTAATTTTCAGAAGATTGAGTACTCATTCAAATATTGCTGCAAATATGATAATGCCAACAACATTGTATTGTATAAAATGTAATTCCAAACTTATCGTATGACTTTTTCCATTTTCTACATGAAAGTTTTAAAATATGCAACAAACAAGTAATAAATGAATAAGAGAATGGGAAGTTGAAAGAATTCTAAAAAATAATTAACCTTTCTGATTTTGTTATCATTTTGAGGTGCAAAGAAATCAGTTTCTGAATGAAATGAAAGGTTAATTAATCTCTTCTCATATTTCTTACCATTTATTATCAAAGAGATCTTTTCTCTTTTCTTTTCATCTGCATTTCCTAAATTTTTAAAGATTAATAACCCATGAAATGGAACGAAAGAAATCCCACAATTCCAGACAATATGTAAGGGACAAGAAACAGTAATTATTGTTGTAATGATATCATTAATAGTTTAAGAAGAAACATTATATTGATGATAAATAAAGCAATAATGATGGTAAGTATGATGAATAAGAATGAGGCAAGGTAGTAATTAAGATAGCACTAAGGTGTTAATTATTACGCTGAAATTGAACAGACATACTGGAAAGACGAAATGATAGATGTGGACACACTTCAATCTGAAATGTATGAGTTCAAGACAAGCAAATGAGAAATAGTAGTAGTGATTGATCTGAGCAGACGCCCATCCTTGCAATAATAGTCCCCTTTCAAAATTTTGTCACCCAAATGAAATTTCCCAAACTATGATCCCAGGACTGTCATTAAAAGTTATCATTTTTACAGGCTTCTCATAAGAAGATTGAAATGTTTGGAATCATTTTCCGCTGAGCACTCAGATTTTAGTGAAGTCAAACAATTTTGCAAATAATTTCTATCACGGAATGCAAAACTACGGTGAATAATTAAATTTAATTCTTAAATTTTCCATACTTACTCGATTGTTGAAATTGAAAAGCAGTTTAATTGAGCATTTTATGCACTGTTCATATGAACTATTTGGTCTTTACGATTGTATAAAATATTGAACTTTTATGATACTTTTCTTTAAATTTTATAACTGTTTCCATGTTTTTTCCTTTTTTTTTTGGAGAATTTCAATTTAGCATTACGCTATTTTACGAATTCAACTGCTCCAAAATGCAAATTTCGTTCTAAAAAATTGGCAACAATACAAATAGACAGCAATCAATCACTTCGAAGACTTCAGTTTCAGTTTCTGGAGTAAGAAAATGGATTCTTTCCTTCCACTTCAGTAAATAAATTAAATACTTTATATGTCACTGCTGCATATTTAAATTGAATTACAATTTAAGACGATGATTTTTCATCAGTGAAAGCGGAAAATATTCTAAAAAAACTGAGAAATATAAAATTCAAATTTGAAGTAAATAAATTTGATAATTCAAACCATATGCTCGGAACTTTTTTTCCTGCATCTCTTCTCTCTCCCTCTCTTCTTGCAATATAAAAAGAATTGAAAGGTTAATGATTATTAAATTGCTATGTCCATTTTAAATTTTAAAGTTGTATGTCAATCATAAAAAAATAACAAAACAACGGTTTTTTATATAGATTTTTACAGTTTAATCATAGACTTTCGCTGAAGTCTTTTCTTCAATTGTGCAAATCGAAATGAAAATTTTTAAAAACAAATTTAGATATTGTAGGAAAGATTGGGACATATGCGAGGATTAAAAGAGGAGGGATATCGATATCCCAGTGAATAGCTAGTTAAATAGGAGATGAGTTCATATTCAATTTGTAAAAATCAGCCAACCGATCGGAGAGTTTCACTAGAGGTCGAGTCAGGTATTTCGAATAGCATCATCAGTAAACAATGTATTCATCGCACCAATTAAATATGATTCGCATTCTCTAAAGTACTCGTAAATTGAAAGGCATAGAATTTGCAGCTAATTGAATGAGAGTGCAGTTATTTGAATTGGAAGGTACTGTTCTAAAGGGGAGCAGATTGGACCAAAGAGAAGTATGGGATTTGAAGGGATGGGCAGAATTTGGAGTAGGAGGACAGGTTCGTTCCTATCTGACATTGAAAACAAGAAAATAATAGTTACGAAAATAATACTTATTGATAAAATATGTTAGCAATAGAAACGTTCGAATGAGCATCGGAGTTCAAATGAAAAAAGGAAAGTGCAATGTGACGAGAGCTCTGAAGAAAACCAACTTGGCTTCCTTAAACGAAAACTTCAAACTAATTACCAAAACCGTAGTCAGCAAATTAATGTCATACTTCTTTATTCCAACCATTGTTTTAAGACTTTATGGCACTTTCGAATCTGTGATTCAAAAAGCGCTCTGTTTCTTTCAAAACAATACAATTTCGTTTACTTCTCTATAATTATCAATTAATTTAACGAATTTCATGGGTTTCAGATTTTCTCTCTTCAACTAAATACTATCTCCAATGTTTTATATATGAAAAGTGAAAAAGTGCTTCATAGCTTAGTAAAACATTGAATTATCTCAATACATTTCAATGATGTGTTTTATTTCTTATTTGGCTCGTAAAACGGCTTTTTTTGTATTCCAAATTTTCAACAAATATTTTCTATCTCTGTTTTTCTGCATTTCTCTGCAGGGAATTAAAGAATCGATTTAGAAATTAATGAACTATAAACAACAAAATTTTCCAAAACGAAAAAAATATTCTTTTATATTCTAAATAAGATCTTTATAAGAAGATGATGTAACTTTTGAAGTGGAACACATCGGTAATTGTGTTTGTGAAAATTTCAGTGATGGAAAAAGACGCCATTTTTATTGGAATTAAAAGAATGGGCTACCACACACATACATACATATAATTTATTTCAGAATTTCTTATTTCAACTCTTAAATTTTTATGAGCAAAAGAACAACAACAACAATTCATTCTTCATACACAATCAACTGGTTTTTCTTTTCTTTTTTTTTTTTTTTTTTGGAGACAAAACTATGAGGTAAAAGGGAAATGATGAGAATGGTGGATGGAAGAAATGAGCGGACAATGAACTAAAGGACTTAAGGGATTTTATTCGAGTGGAAAATAACGTTCCGAATGGAAGTATTGGTTTAGGTATTTCTAAGCATCCTAGATATTTCACAATAAACTTGCTTATTTTTTAAGAAATTTTCGGAAAAATAAATATCAGTGTGAGAGACAATTGCGCATAAACTTAATATATTTGGGATTTTGCAGAAAGAAAAGAAACTTTCAGAAGCAAATGTCGTCCTATCTTCTTGCATTGACTTTTTGAGTGGCTCAGCTTTAAACTAACTCTTTTCAGCAAGATAAGGACTGTAAGATCACAAGAGGAACTCTAACCTAACGGATAAGCAGCTTTTTAAATAGAGTTGTTGTATAAGATTGAGAAGTAACTTAGATATTCAGGACTGTGCGCGAATTACGCTACAGAAATCAACATGATGAGACAACTTGTACAAAAGATTAAAGGAAAGATAAAATATTTAAAAGGAGCGGAAGCTTTTTGTCTTCGCATCAGTAAAAGTTAGATTCTTACACATCCGAGAATATGACACGCAATCGTCGAAGAAAATAATACAGTTTAATAATTTCACTGATGTTTTCCATTTTCAATGTAAATCATTTTGTACACAAATGACAAGTTGACAAATAAGGTGGAAAATTGGATCGGAGTCATTTTTCAAAAATTGATATAGAAGAATCAAAGTGTAAAACAATTGAGGCAACATATTATTTTAGAGTTTGCATTTAGTATTCCGTATATGAAATTCGATAACTGTAAAATAGTGAATTTCTGGAAGTGCTCATTGGATGACATAATAATGTGATGTTAGAGAGTGTTGTCGCGAAAACCATTCAAATCACTCGCTATTTTCAATCGAAAGTTATTCAAATTTAATATTTTGTCTTTTACTTGGGTTTTTTTTGGAAAATTGGATCTACTTGATGAGTCAGCGACATGAAACGAATTTCAACAAACCTTGCCCATTATTTTCACAGTAATTGCTTGCTTTTCTTGTCTTTAGAATTTAAATAAATCAGAAATTATTTTGAGAACAAATTAGAGACAACTGTGAGTTATCGATATCAGAGCAGAAATTTTGGTAATAATTGAAGAACTAATTTACTTCTAAAGTATATTTAACTATTTAAACAATTTGAAAGTGATATTATGTAAAACATTTCAAAAAACTGAAGCTAACTTAGTCTTACTTAAAACTTTCTTTCAATTCTGAAATAAATTTATGCTAGAAGGATAAGAATTTCGAATAATTGCTAGAATAAAAAAAATGTCTGAAAAATGAAGGAACAGCAGGTAACCCTTCAATTTGGCAATATTTTTGTTTTTCAGCTGTTCACAGATGGTATTAACGATGGATTCGAATAGTTGAAATTAAGAAATGATGAAAAGAGAATGAATCTGATAATATCGAATGCAATGAAGCAGAAATGAAGTCATTGTAATGTTATGATGCAAGGACGATTCAATAATTTCAAGTTAGTGAAGTTTGGATGAATCAGTATTCATGTGATCGTTTCTAAAGAAAAAAAAAATCAGGCAGTTATTGGCCAAGTTTATGAGTCATTCATGATTTCTATCATTTATAGCCATATAATCTATCCAAATAACAAGCCAAGAAGATGTTGTCGAGATAAGAATAAAGCAAATTTGACCGTTGAATTTATATGGATGTCTAAGAAATGCATTATGTTTAAAGCTTATTTTATTAAATAGTTCGCAAGGTAGACCTTTTACCTATAACAAATAAAAGGTTTGTAACAGTGTTGCATACTACTGATATGATAACATAATTGTAAGATCAATAACAATTATAAAATCTTTTTATCTCATTCGTTTAACATAAGATTGAATTGATTTCTTGTCCTGTTTATCATCACATTCTTCTATTCAATTAGAATGGAAGAATGTGAAAAAAAGAACAAAATTGTGGTATTTGTCATAAAATAAACTATGAAATGAGTGTTTTATGAATTGCAAAGAGAGAAAGAGAGAGAGAAAGAGAGAGAGAGAGAGAGAGAGAGAGAGAGTACTTATGTTTAACAATAGAAAT